TTTCTCTATCCCCCTTTTTATCTTTGATTTTTTCTTCAGGATTATTATTCACTTATATATCATTGGCATTCATGCCACTTATTATGCCATAAATTAAATCGCCCCAAATAATCGAACACAATTTCGACTTCATTACTAGAAATTTATAATTGACAAAATTATCAAATGAAACAAATCTCGCAAATACACACGCAAACAATTTTATAATTATACAACCGCAAAATTTAATAAACAAAAATTTATACTTCGATATAATAAATTATTAAACAATTAATTTTTATTATACATTATAAAAATTAATCTGCTTCGAAAACATATTGTTAAAAGCAGAAGATTAGAAAGTAGCAAAATATATACATGACGTTTGGTATCACATTATTGCATGAGTGATTGAGTATTGTTTAAATTTACTACAAGAATACATTGTTATGTCATTATAATAAAACATAAGACACGTGTCCATGCAACATAGTATAAAATAATTTATATGGAAGTACATTTTGATTTGTCAGCATCAAGTCAGCAAATTTTATAAGAGAATCAGCAAACTTGTCTACTAATAATGATAACGAGTTTTTAGGCTTGAACAAAAAGTTCAAGAAACAAATGACATTCGCTCATTTTTTGAAGAGCTTGTACAATTTTCTTCATGCTTCTTCATGCTTTTTTTTACTAATTGTAAGTGAAAACGTCCTTAAATTCACAAACCGTACTTATATAGATTCCACAATGATATAAATGTGAACAAAACTTACGAAATATGTCCGTTTTTTTTACTTGGTCTTATTTCGCTTTCGACGACATGATATTCCGAATAATTTCGCAAGATAGACCATATGTTCTATAAGTTGTCGAACGAGTATCGATCAAATGTGAATTATAGAGGTGAGAAATGGAAGTTCAGCAGCGTTCAATGTCCTCCGAAAGTACAACTCTGTTTCTTTGCATCACACATCTATATATATCTCATCGTATGTATTAATTTATTACGAGTGTATCGATCAATTAAATCGATGCTCGTTAAATGCTGATAATGACGACGAAACGTCCAATATATAAGTTATATCTTTGGCTGTCATCAAATTATATTAAAATTCGGTCTTACCGAATTTATTCGATCATTCGAAATGTCATGAAATGTCGTTACACGACTACCTTTACTCTGTTATTATGTCATTCGTTTATGATCATGCAGTTTTGTTAATTACTACAAAATTATAGTTTCTCTTTTCATTTCTGTCTTCAATAAATCTATTCAACAATTCAAATTTTTACATCAACTTTTTGCCACAAGAAAATTTTTTATTATTTAACTTTCTTTAAACAATTTTTTTAATCAGTTTGTTATGTTTTTTCGAGCTCGCATGCATGCGTACGTATTTTTCTATTTATTTAATATTCTTATTGATACTCCTAGTTATACGCTTTTTTAAATTATTGATTTTTCTATCGAATAAAAAAAATTCAAATAATCCAATATTTATTTTATTGTCATAAAAATAAATAAAAAGGCTGCAATAGACATAAAAAGTAAAATAGAAAAAAATGTGTTTGGAAAGAACCTCTCAACAATGCAAAAATTTTCGAAGCTAAGTTTTGACAATTAACATCTGATTTTATTAGAATTTCACTCGTTGAGACGCGGAGAAAGATATAACAGTTAGATTGATCACAACAGGGAAGAGAGTGCAACGAACGAACTTTCCTTGGTCGTTTCAGTTTCAGATGGCTGACTGTTGTACCAGAACCGATACGGATTTTCTGGGTCGAGCCTCTCACTGGCCTACACTACAATCGCAGGCAAAAGTGACCATTGAAATCAGTCAGCGTACTCTCAAGTGAATGGATAGCTAATCCTGGATCGAATGTATTCTCACCTTCAACAAGGATACCGGAGATCGAGTATTAAATTATTTTCTCTTTCCTCATTGTTCTGACTTTCAAGGACTCTCCGCTTTAACAAACATAATATCTTAGAAATTATTTTAGTTTCACAAGCTTATTGAGTGATCCTTTGCACGTTTGAGTCAAATGAATAAACTTCTCATATAAGTAACTCATATAAGTAACTTCTCTTACCTCCAATTGTACTCCGAAAAGATCTCGCGATCTTCCAGGTCTAGGAGCATTCAATTCTTGCATCTCGGATTCTCGTTCTACCAATCCCATTTCTTCAAAATACCTAAAAACACAAATGACAAAATTTAAAGTCTACAATAGCATTTTAATTTGAATTAAGTTCTTTGTATTTTTATCAACAATAACAATCTGTCTTAAATGAATATAATATAGAAAAATATTAATATTGAAACCAATACATTCCAATATTACGACAACTTTGTCAAATTAATGCATATTAAAAATATAAAATCTTTCATCGATTCAACGCTTTTTTTTATTAAAATAATGTTACAATATATGTATTTTATTAATCGTGATGGCAACAAAATAGCGCAACGTTACAGTGACTGAGTTTAACAAATATGCTTTTCTCTATCCATAATGTATTACATTCGTTTCTAGTTTTTTCTGCTTTTATGAAACGGTTAAGTTATCATAAAAATGATATGTAATATAATGTAAAATGATACATGTGGCGAAATTAAATCAGAAGTTTTCTCAAAGAAACTACAGTAAACTGGTAAAGTAAATAACTGTAACAGAAACAAGGTAAGTTTGATATACGAAGCATTCTGCAGTAAAACATGAATCATTCGATGGAGAAAGACATAACAGTTATAAACGCATAAATGTCTGTAAGCATGACAAGTTCCGAGAAAAAAAAGTTAGTTTTTATTGGAAGGAAATTATAAAAAAATAAAAATCATCAAAGTAGTAGAGAGTCAAAAAATTCTTTCTGATAAATATAAATATATTTTTAAATAGAAAGTTGATAAAAATTTATAAACTTTTGATGATGAATGTATAATATGTAAAATAGTAGAAAGGCATTAATTTATATCGACTTTAATATATAACAAGACATTATAAATTATAATCAATTTAAATGTTAAAACATGAATATGTAAAAAATATTGTCACTATTAAATTTATTTTATTGCTACTTATTTATATAATAATTTTATTTGGTATTATTATAACGTAAAAACTTTGGTATAAAAACTAAGGATATTTTAGCAATATATACAAATATTAAAAGTATTAGCTAAAAAATCAGTTAGAAAAGTCAACATTAATTAATATTCGCCAAAACATTTTTATCTATATTTTATTTTTATGAATACGTCCTAAAATAATCTGAAAAAAACAAAATAAATAATTTAGCTTATAATGGCTTTATACAGCAAAATGATCATATTTTATTACAGTTTTAAGTAAATAATTTTAAACGAAAACTTTTTTCTTGTACAAATATTTATTAGGATTTTATTAGTATATATAAAAAAATTGATTTTAATTTATAATGCTATGGCTTCATAAAATTTGCAAATAAATAATATTGGGATTCTAAAGACGGTTAGTCAGATTGTAAATAGCACTTACACACAGACGATTTAAGCGTCATTGACATATCATTACGTACTACTCAACTACTACATCAATATCTCACACACATGTAGGTAAACACATAAGTAAAATTTTGTATAGCACATAAGTATAAAGTTTCGTACAATAATTCGTTTTAATTAAACATCCAAGTCTAATTTTAAGGACTCCGCATTGTTTTTTCGTACTAACTACTAGTCTGTAGATTACTATTTCATAAATACAGATTGCACAGCTTTTATTATAAAGCAAATATTGTCACGACGTAACAGCTCTGGAGCATCGTTAGAGTAATTGTAAGATGATAAAGAAGATCTCAATTTCTTGAAATCTTCATTTTTTTGTCATTCTTGGCATAAACTCCACCTCACAGCCACGTATTAATGCGTATACTTTAATCCTAGAAAAAAATTTTTTAATCAGTAAAAGAGGAAAAAGTAATTGTGCAAAAATTATATGATTTAGTCGGTAATACAGATTACTTTAGGATTCCTTAAGAATCAAATAAATAAAAAAATTAAATAACTTAAATATATGTATTATTCGGGATCTACAATAAAATAGAAAATTGACAAATCATAGTCGATTATTTTTTTCACATTCGACTGTGATTGATTAATTTTCTACGACTTAAGACTCTACGAACGCTACGACTTCTATTGTAGATCCCTCGCATAAGAGAATGCTCAAATTTTACACTGATACTCAAACGTAAAAGTAAAATAGTTTATAAAGTCATTTTTTGGGAATTCAGTTAATTCAGTATTCTGAAATTCTTATATTTTCTCTTTTCCGCAAAACTTCGAAAGTTACGCTCTTCCTCTCATTTCACACATAACACTTCCGCGTAAACGCCATTATCCCGTTGGCATTTAAAACATTTACGACGCAGTGTCACCACAGCGCGGCGCCGGGAATACCGCGACGCGACGCGACGCGACGTGACGCGACGCCCGCGCCGCGCTATCGTCAAAGCGTGCGAAACACTGCGCATTGTCTGGCAATCCGACACCGAGAAAACAATAAAGCCAAGAGTGAAGTGCTACGACTCACAAGAAGAATCGACTGTGTCGGATATAACACTGGCAAAGTTTCTCGCGACGTGAATCATCACGGCAGTGTTGAAGTATTCGCAGATCGGTGGAGGCAAATGACGATGATTTCAACAACGTTAGAAAAGCAGAATCGCGTGATTTTACGAGTCACGAAAAGCGTGTTGATTCAATCAAAGAAGAGGATCGATGCACGGCTGCACTAGAGGAAGACAGGACGGGAGGAGGCAACGCGTCAGCAGGATATGCACCGCAACAATACGTCTGGGTAACGCGCACGAACAATGGACGATATGCAGCGCATACGTCCTTGTACCGTTATCTCGTTCTCCGCGGGATTATCCGCTAATTATTTGCAATTAATCGCAGAACCGTGCGCGCGCGGCCGGGAACGATGCTCTAGGACAACATCGTCCTCCGTCGTGATCGCATCGCCGCATCGCCACATGGACGACATAGGTGCGGATGACGATCTATCGTCTATCGCGTATTACTACATCGGTTGTTAACGCTATAACGAACGTCGTTGTGCGCCGAACGTAATTGCTTTCACCGCATAATTTGTAATTGCATTATTATCTCATTTCTGTGAGCGTTTTAATGCGTTGCGCAATTAGGCAAATACATAATTAATCGCTAGCGACTGCTAGACTATCTTGTTCCGCGCCTTATCCTACTATCACATCGCATCGTATTACTTTGCTCTGCAAAATGATTACATTCGCCATAATTTTGTTACGTCTCACGTAATCATTTCTTTTATATATATATATATATATTTTTTTTTTTTTTTCCTTACTATTGAAATTGAATTCATTGACGTCACTAACGTCGCATCCGTGTCGGCTCAAAAACACACCTTAAAAACAGTTTCAAAAACATCCTTCAAATTTTTCGTTTAAATGTTTTTTAAACTTAATTTAATTCAGTTTTAAATGCTACTTTTCCCTTAGTTCTGTAATTTCCAACTGCAAATTGATACTGGTTGCTCCACTTCCCATGACGATCAAGTTAATTGAAGAGTAAAACTTCCTGTTTTCCTACAGGAATGTAAAGAGAACTGGAGTCATCGATTATCAACGGTTACAAACTGTATATAAAAAGATTTATAGAGTTTTCACGTAGCGAAAGGATGGATTCTCCCGGCCACACGGTGCCCATACGCGCAAAGAGCTAGAAGCGGAAGCAGAAAACGACGATGCACGCTGGAGGAGGCGAGTCAGTCCTAACGGGATCGCGATACGGATCATTAGCGCTGTTTAATCTACGAGCGAGCATTCTAACGCAACCGCGCGTCGGAGTGGCGTATTGTAAAATCAACTGCGTCATGGGAAGGAATAATCCTCTCTTCCTTCAATTTCCGCGCCGGCGAAGCATCTCCTGAGTCATCATCAACGTCACGTGATTTCCGCTACTGTGAAACATTAGAGTTTTACGAACTACGATTTACTGTGACGCGCAATGTCGTGTATGTCGTCGTCAATTCTTCTGCTTCCTCAAGAAGTTGTTTGATCTGAGAAGACTAAAGCGTAGTTAAAGAGCGTAGCTAAAGAAACCATCAGAAACACACAATACTTCGCTTTGCTGCATTCACGCAGATATATCAGCTAATTGCGCAAAACAATCATTAGCGATGGATTCTCCAATCGATAGGAAAGGATGTTTTTGCAAGAGAAAGAATAATTAAAGTCGGATACCGTTAATATCACGCAGCGTTCCCTAGTGTAAACAACGCCATCCCCTCTGTCATATCCGATGCGAATGCACCGCCGGTCTACCGGACGATGGGCAAATAATAAGCAGTAATGACAACGTGGTAGATATTAAATGTGCCAGCACATCATGGCCGTGGGTCTAATCGTAACCGGCGATCTTGACAAGCCATATCGTTGAAACTGCCATCCCTCTTTTACACTCACTTATCTTTTACCCTTGGCCGCATGTAAACGTCATACATAGTAGATCAGCATTAACATATACTTCGTATAAACCCTCGTCCTCCTCGTCTGACAAAACATGTCTAAAAAAAAAGTTGTTGATAGAAATAAATTTTATAATATCGTAAGTTTTAATCTTTAAAATTAGATATTAAAAATTTATACAGATATTGCGATACAGATATTTCGATTCGTATGATAAATTCTCTTCTTAAATTTTATATTTTATTCTAACACATTTTTTCTTCTTTTTTTTTTTGTAAAAAGAAACAAACGGCGCAAATTTCCACTTCGTAATAACAAGAATATATAGCTTTATCGCGATGCACAAAAGATTATCACAGGTTAAATACGTACCTACTCCTAGAAAATGTAAGGAAGGTTAGTAGGAACAGACGGGAATATTTTCATGGAATTGCAAGACTTGCATTAGCGTGCTCGTCCGTAGTCGACTTCCGAGAACGCCCACATGTCTATTAGCACGCAAGTCGGTTGATTTTGTTAAAGAAGACCATGCAAATGCGCGGTTTACATTTATTTTCTGCATTTATTCGCGAATGGAAACGAAACTATCGCATTGACCATCAGATCAGAAGGAAAAGGAATCATGGGGTTACCTAGCTTTAATAGCGGCCATACAGTTCTTTCGATCTCTAACATGACGATATCGAAT